GACCGTACGACAGACAGGAGCTTCTCGCTGCGGTATCGAGAACCGGGCAGACAGAAAGACAGAATCGTGAATTTGCCTGCGAACCGTGTGTTTGTGGTTTTGTTTGTTTGTTGTTTCACACCGCACTCAGCAATATTCCAGCTATATGGCGACAGTCTGTAAATAATCGAGTCTGGAATAGTCGATCCAGTGATCAAGAGTATGAGCATCGGTCTACGCAATTGGTATACATGACATGTCAACCAAGTCAGCGAGCCTGACCACCCGATCCCGTTAGCCGCCTCTTACGACAAGCATGGGCTACTGAAGACCAATTCTAACCCGGATCTTTTCAGGTCTGATTTGTATATAAACAACGCATGTGGGTAATCATACCTTGGTCTTTGGTGTGAATGCTTTAACCACTGGGCTACCCCACCGCCCCTACAAATTAGAACAGTGTCGGAATGTTTCTGATTTATATAGAAACATTCCGACAGTGTTTGAGTTTGTAGGGGACGGCGGGGTAGCCTAGTGGTTAAAGCGTGTCACACCTAAGACCCGGGTTCGATTCCCCACATGGGTACAATGCGTTAAGCCCATTTCCAATGTCCCCCGCCGTGACATTGCTATAATATTGCTAAAAGCGGCGTAATACCAAGCTCACTTACTCACTCTTTGTTTAGGCATATTCATCCCCGCGTTGCTCTCGAGATATAAAGACTAGCCGTGTGTTATTTAACTATATCATATAAATACAATGTCATGAAAATATTATATCTTCACTTGAATTTTAGACATTTGTTTCATTTGTTTCTGTATAATATAGAGTTGTGAAAACACTCACTCACTCTACATTGTAATTAGTTTCATCTAATTTGAACAGTATGTGTTTCCTAAATAGCCGGTTCAACCGGTTCCATCAGCACGATCGATCCATTCACAATTATTGTAAGAGCGGCCTTCACTAGTTAAACGTTTTTATACTCTTGAATTCACTTTTTGAAACTTGATAGAAAGGAGATTTCCAGTGAAATGAGTTTCAAGGGATAAACATCATTAATTATTATCTACTGTGAACGTTATATAATTTATTTACGGCGATATTCACAACGCAACAGAACATATTGACCATTCGTGTCTAATGAGTGTATAACTGGATGGTTTAATGTATAGGCGCCGTCAACCATGATCCAAACTTTACGTACACTACTCCAATAAAACTCCGCTTTTGATACGAATATTGACTGAAAATCGCCCATTACAAACCCATTCACCATCATGCACCTAACTATTAAATGATTTGTTTTGTAATTGGCTTAATGGTAATCTGCCCAGGGAGAGATGTTAGAAAGGAAAACACATTAGTATTCTTGACTGTAGTTATTGCTTGTCAGCGAAGGTATTTAATGTCATCCAATCATGACTCGTGAAGTTTCGGTTTGGAATTGGTCTTCAACAATCTATGCCGTGTATACGCGAGACTGACTGACTGACAGAGTTTGGTTTTACGCCGCTTTTAGCAATATTCCAGCAACATCACGGCGGGGGACACCAGAAATGGGCTTCACTTAGACGCGAGAGGCCACTAACCGGTTTAAGTGTTCAGGCGAGCTATTCTCGAAACGTTCGTAGACCTACGAACTTCTTAAGCCCATTCTTAACACACTGGCTACGATCAATGTTAAGAATTCTTAGGGCTACGAAAGTTTCGAGAATAGCTCGCCTGACTCGCTGACAAGGATGATCGTATCCCAGTAGCGGGGATCGATGGCAGTCACAGGATTGAGTGGTCCAGACTCGATTATTTACGTTATATTACTGGAACATTGCTGAGAACGACAATAAACAAACACTAATTAAACCATATGCCCAAACATATGTTGGTGCAGTGACAATCAAAATTTGACAAAAACGTAAAACGATTTAAATAATTACTGTACAAGTAAATATTTGCTAATATTTGCCGTGATAAAAGAGCAATCAAAACAAAGTGGTTTGAGTGATACAGTATGCTTCAGATGTTTAGATATTATGAAATATGATCGATTTTGTTAGATATTGTATTCCGAATAAAAGGGATGAATACAAACAAGATTAGTACGTGACATGTATACATTTAATAATCAATCCTTGAAAGATACGTAACAATGCTGAGTAACGATTGATTGAGGCATCGGTTTGTGCTGGTTTGATATGGCACGGGCTAACAGACGCTAAATATATACTATCCCAAAAAAGAAACGCATAGGCGATTTGTATTTTAAAAAATCTATTAATTACCTATTGTGTTCAAACAATCGTCAAAATATACAAAAAAAGTGTTGATAACATGATTTTACACAGTTGCACAAGTAAAAAGTCGATTTTACCTGAAAATGTTGATTTTGATGAGTCTTCTTACAAGAATTAAAAATGCATCGCCACAGCGCAACAGAAATCACCTTCCTGTTGAAATTGTGCAGTAAAGAGCATGCACTGTCTGGCAATAAAAATCCAGATTACTTTCGGAAATTGGCATTCGTTTTGAAGGAGTTTCAAGGTCAAATCACTTCGCAACGTCTTGACTCTGCGACATGGAACATCGCCATTGAAAGAATGAACGTTGGAGATTACCAATCTTCTATTGCCAGGCGTCTGAATGTTAGTCTGAGCACGATATCACGGCTTGCTGTTCGTTACAACCAAACAGGTATAACAAATGACCGTCCCCGTACAGGCCGACCTCGAGTCACCACTGCAGCCCAAGATCGGTACATCCGGGTACTACATTTACGTGATCGTACTGCCACGGGTGAGAGCGCAGCAACCAGGGTGCCTGAACTTCGGAGGATATCCGGTCAAACTGTACGGAACAGGTTGAAAAAGATTGGTTTAGAACCAGGAGCCCCGATTTCGGGACCGTGCTACGTCGTCACCATCACGCTCAACGTCTCCGTTATCTAAAACTATCCACTTGGTTGTATAGACATTACCTTCTTCTAAACTGGTGTAAAAATTCATGCACTAAATTCTATTTGTGGACGAGTTAAACATGTTTGAAAATACAACATTTTCGCAACAGATTTCTGGCCCATGCGTTTCTTTTTTTGGATAGTATATAATGAAAATAGAGTTCACCATTTGTACGTGGAATGGTTTTAGTAGAGAACTGTGTGTTTGGTTGGTTATTTGTTTAATGTTGCACTCAGCAATATTCCAGCTATATGGCGGCGGTCTGTAAATAATCGAGTCTGGACCAGACAATCCAGTGATTAACATCATGAGCATCGATCTACGCAATTGGGAACGACGACATGTGTCAACATAGTCAGCGAGCTTGACCACCCGATCCCGTTAGTCGCCTCTCACGACAAACATGGGTTGCTGAAGACCAATTCTAACCCGGACCTTCACGGGTAGAGAACTGTACGGACCAGGAACCATACCATGCGTGCACAATTTTAGTGCAAGACAGGAACACCCTTATCAAATGTTGGTGAAACCATGGCGACATGAAGACATAAAGACATGACGGTGATGGTGATGATGAGTGAGGATATAGTTTGGCTTGAGGTTATTGAATTACAGATCACAATATATTTTTGTCGAATAAACACTGCTTTCCTTATGCTGAAAAAATGTTCAATGTATGTCAGACTGCCTCTTGCAAATGCAAATGTCTCTTGAAACATGAATAGTTTCTCTATTAAATATTTATTTTAATCGTCTCTTCAATAGTCAACAGTTTGACTGGCCTCCCTGCATGCATTATATACATGTACTCAGTTTCATCTCCATACATATCCAGTATTTTTCAAAAACAGCCCTGACCTAACTGGGCATTTGCATACTTTAAAAAAACAACAACAAAAAACAAACCAAACCAAAAGAAAACAAAACCAAAACCAAAATCATTACCAACAAAAAACAACAAACATTACAAAACCATCAGAAACAACAAATACCCAACTAAAAAACAACAAAACAAACTAAAACAAAATAAAAACAAAACAAAACAAACCAACAACAGTAACAAAAAACGCTATCAAAGTGTTACTTGCTGGAAACAGGCGCCGAAAAGACCTCAAACGTATTATATATATGGTCCTAAACACAATTACAATAATCCTATCAAATACACTGCCTCCTTTTATTATTTGTATGTTTTTCATTATGGTTTACTTTCTTTAATCCCTCAGTTTATATTTTGTTTGGCAGTTTGGGTGATTTCGGAGTACAATAAATATATGGATAGACAGTACTACACAGTAATAGTCAATTTCTTACACACAAATGATTAGACACAATTGACCAGGTAACTGATGATTGTTCTAAAGAACACATAGTAAATACTAGTATAGATATCATAATAATGTTCCTCTTTACCTTTACAGGGGCGGTGGGATAGCCTAGTGGTGAAGGCGTTCGCTCGTCACGCCGAAGAAACGGGTTCGATTCCCCACATGGGTACAATGTGTTAAGCCCATTTCTGGTGTCCCCCGCCGTGATATTGCTTGAATATTGCTAAAAGTGGCGTAAAAGCAAACTCATTCACTCACTCACTTTACCTTTACAGGCTATTTTGATATTTGTTATGCATGGCGAGTCATGTTGACGTGAACAGTATGACTGTACTGATCTTATTGGGTGAGGGTAGGTAACCCGGCCTATGGTTCACTAATGCTACATCAAATATGAAAGGTTTATCGTAAAGGACATTTTAGGTTTATATCATGGTGTTTGTTTTGTATTACTTAATTCCATTCATTAGTTATACGTATTCCTGCAAATGACCGTCAAAATCATGAGAAAAGAAATTTAAATTTTAATTAATTTTAGGAAGATTTGTTAATTCATAGAAAGTACTGTAAACATGTTTCTCTCAGGTTTTTCAAAACCGGTTCTGATTTTGTAGTTGCCCAATGTTTGTCCTTCATACTTGGCAACAAGTATTTTGATACTATAAGTCTTTTTGTAATACGACTGGAATAATACTACATGCAGTTTGTAACATAAACCCCTTTATACAGCATATGTACCTTGTGAAATGGTAAAATATGTAGAGCCAAGAGCTGTGGCCGATCCCGTGTTGGTAGAAAATGTGTTGTTCAGAAGCCGACACTCGAACGTCAGATTGTTGAAAAAGAATGAGTGACATTGCCAGGCCAGACAGTAACTGGAACACGTTGCCCTCGTGGTCGCCTTGTACACAGCCAGGACATCGCCATCTTTGACAAGGTCTTCGAAGTCCCACTTCCGGTCGTACAGCACGGCCCTTACGCTGGAACACCATTTGGCAAGGTCAAGGTCAAGGTCAACGCGAGAATAACCCCCCCCCCCCCCAATTTCTTCTTATTCTGGCCATTCTGGTGGAATCAATGCATCAAATTTACAAAATTACACCGACAAAAGATCACGGTTCTTTGTGAATCATATTTCTTCTTTTGAATAAATTTTCGGGCAGAGAATTTGAAATACCGTTTAATTTGAACTACCATTTACGTTCCAAATGAGCTTTCGGATACCTTTACTATGGTTTACTCATTTATAGCTGGCTGTTCTGATGTATCAAAGTACTTTTACAGATTAACGCTATCACATATTATTTCATAATGGTTGAAAATAAAGAAAATCATTATATGAATGAAATATACATTTTTATGGATGACAACGTCTTGTTATTTCATAGAGCGATGTTTTGACTTAGATTCTTACACCGTTATCACTTTTAGCTTGATAACAGTGCAGGAGGTGTCCTCCCATTTGTGAGTACTCCCAGTTGTGAGACACATTAATTAATGGTTCAGTGCACACAGGTGGTGCTTCCCCATCCCTACAATGAAAGTGGGAACAGCCCTGTTGCTGAAGAGTACCCCCAGGAGGCATAGTTCATTAATGAGTTAATTAACACAGAAGACATTGTTCGTTGAAGAGCATTTATTGTTTTCAATAGATACTGAAATACTGAAAAAGATTATCGTGAACTGGTGATATATTCTACTTGTTAAAGGCCTGCCATAATGGTGATCGGAAAGAGCAGTCAAAGGTTAATAAATACATTTTGATTAATTATAGTTACAACAGTTATTGCTAGATATTTCAAACACGTAAATCTGAGTAGGTAATTTAATTTCTCTTTCAAATGATCACGAAGTTACCTACACAAAATGTTTATTTTTTAAAGCCATTTATCTGAGTAGGTTAATTACTTTATCTTTTAGAGTTTCTTTAAGTTACCTCCACAAGATTCAGTTAAATAGCTAATCCATAATTAGCGCGGGTTAATCCATTATATCAGATAGGGGAGTAAGATGTGTTTTCTTTGCTAATTTCCTACTCCACTGTCTCACAACTGGGAGTTCTCACAAATGGGAGTAGACCGTGCAGGAATCTACATCGAAACGCTCTATGCAATAAACATCCATAAAGTTGTAAGCTTTATCTTTGACTCACCAACTTATAGAATGCCGATCCAAAAATCATTATCGTTTAGGTCTCCGTAACTGAATCTTTTCATCTATCATGATAACAGTTTCAAGTTCAATGTAATCTGTTTTACAGTCTATTTTATTATTGCTATCGAATTTACTCATTTAATAAACCGAAATCACCTAGCTAAAATGGGGCAACATGTCTTCTGGGTACCAGTAAACAGGTTTCTAATTAGCAGAAAACTTTTGCAGGAAAACATGGCTTTAAATGGTAAAATTCATTGGTATGGTTTGTTTTGGAAACTATTCTCCTGATTCGTTATGATGATGACTATAATTATTGTTGTTACTGTCATTATTATTGCCACATGTATTTATTACTCGACGATCACCTATTTAGATCCCCTATAAATACAGACTGAATAAACGACAACTGAAGATATTGCAGCGCAACCTGGAATCCCACATACCTAACTGGTAAATATTGGCAGGAGCCATCGACATTATCTCAGTTCACATAAAGAAGCCAGTATTTGTTGCCTTATACCTACAGTATTACACCTGCCATATCACGGCAGTAACTATAAAAAATGTATCGTTTAAGTAGCAAACAATATATCACATTGAAATTACATTAAAACTCTGAACTCTGATATAGTGTTTGGTAACCAAATATGCTGTTTCATTAATACTTACTCAGCACTATAATTTGCTGATACGTGTCACTTCCATGGTTCAAAAGTGGAAACGAACTTTAATTTTAATTGTTATTGGATAGAACAAAGCATAAGAGCATTACCTGAAACTCCAGGCCGTCCACAGCGCTATGTGCAATAGCGATCTCATGTCCTCTGTGATATGATGCTGGCGATTCGATCACTGAGAGACTATATCTTATCTAGGACTTCTGGGCGGGCAGTCGATTTCTCTTTGTTCTCATGTACAAAGAAATCGATATTCAACATGAAACAATGTTCCATTTATACACAAGAGCGAAACATGTCGATTGTTTATCTCTGGCGTCAGAAGGAGGTGCAAACGAGGCATTAACCATGCGGAATGTACGAAGAAGTCTTAACAACCAATAACTTGTACCGCAGAGTTGTCAGGATCTGCTGGTCCTAGGTTTGAACCCCAGATTTGCCTGGATGGCGATTTCTTGCATTACAGTACTACACATACAATATCAAAGTCAGTTACTATGTGCAGAAATTCAAGACTTACCCGTAGTTTCTGAAATAACTGGTTCTAACGTATTGAACGTTTCAAGAGGTAAAAACACAAGATGGTGTAGTCTGTATGTTGCCTATGATCTGCCAATATGTCGTCTTTATGTTTGGGGGCGATGGGGTAGCCCAGTTGTTGCAGCGTTCGCTCGTCACGCTGAAGACCTGGGTTCGAATCCCCACATGGGTACAATGTGTGAAGCCCATTTCTGGTGTCCCCTGTCGTGATATTGCTGGAATATTGCTAAAAACGGTGTAAAATCAAACTCACTTACTGTATGGTGTTGTATTCTGCATACATGATTCCTTTATGCTGACAGCGTGTTGTCTCATGTTGCCAATCTTGCCTTAATGTTGCCTGCGTGTTGAGTGAATGTCGTAGATTTGAAGTTTTGAACATTCCCAAAGCATGTACAGCCAATAGTTGAAAGCGAATGACACCTTAATATGCAACCTACACTATGCTTCATATCACTGAAATCCCTGTAAAATGACCTGATGGGTGCCGAGTATTCCCCTGTTTGTTCGGGTCGTAGCTTGACGTGCCTTTGCGTGGGTTTGGACAGTGTACCAACTGAGAGGCGTACTACTCTCGCTTTAACACCTTTGATACTTATTCATATAAGCTTGTTTGTGATGTGGTCGGAATTGTGCATTAGACCCTGCTTTTGCAGTGGATTCCTTGTCGGCTCTTTTTGGTGCCATTTGATCTGTAAATCACCAGTGCTTACATTTCGACAAATCAACACAAACCCAGGATCCATTGCCTTGGTTCTCGAGATCGCAAACATCCGTCCTTGAGTTTCATTAACATCTTACCAATGTTTGACGAGTAGCAGTCAATATGAGATTACGAGGACCACGGGAATGGGTTTTTTGTGTTTAACAAAAACGAGCCCTGGATATATGGAAGATGAATCTGCACGTGTCTCCAAAACTGTGAAATGCAGCATAGGTATAAGATGCAAAAGTGTATAAAATTATGGGTGAAAATTGTTGATGACACCAATTTATTTATTTGAGTCTAAACTGTGGATTTGCCAACTTGACTGGGGAGTCATTACCATCTTGACTGTGGCGTCATAAGCATCAAGTGCCCTAGACTATGTTGTAAGCCGCTGTAGGCGGACGATACTCTGCCCTTCACACATACGTTTGTATCTCGTCGGGATGAATGCACGGCTCGTTGTGCTCACGAAACCCTGTCAGCAGGGTGTGGCAGGGTAATGATTTGGTCAGAAGAGGGAACGTGACTCATCACGTGTTCAATTCAGAGCTTGATTACTATATCAAAGTTAGTCTTGGAATTCCTATCTGATATGCCCAGCTGAACACTTCTAGGGCCATCTAGATCGTTAGATTGGAATACGATCTAATCCTCTGATAAAAGACGTGACTTGATACAGACGGTTTGGGTAGAATAGCGTCGAATACCAAATGAAATGTGCAGTCATGTTTGAAGCCAATGGTGGACGCACGCAATATTGATTGATTACTTCAGTTCCCATGAAGATTGACTTTAATCTCAAATATTGTGTTAACAGTGACTGCAAGTTGACAATATATTTCCATGTTCTTGATGTCTCAGTGTGTCCTGGACAACGCTGCCAATACATTATAGCCATTCAGTATTTATACCCATATGTCATGATCACAAATGCAAACGCTTCTGTCAAGCACGATATTTAGTTTGGTGGAACTACCTTTGCTCGTCAGTGTATGTAAGCATACAGTGTGTATTTATGCACCAGGAATCTTGGAAACCGGTATTCAGTTTAAATAATGATATTACAAATATTTTTACTATATCCTGAATCCCTGACTTTTTATGATTCATTACAAAGGTATGGAATGGATCGATCAAAGCTTTTCAGGAGACAGATTGTATTTCAACGAGGTTCACCTTTGTCCACCTTTGTACACACGTCGTGGCTTTGATCGTTGACAACAGTGTTTGAAATCTCCGTCCTGCAACTTAATGCGTCTATCTCTTAATGACAATATGTTCATAGATATAGCCAAGGAGTCATGGGTCTGTCGATAATCAACCGTTCATTTGAATTCCTATTTCAAGTAGAACTATCTAGGTTACACAATACAATGGACACTGATTATGAGAGGTTTATTTTTCAACTGACTACACAACTCTGTGTAAGTTAGCGTTTTCAGTAACATTTGTTTTCTAAGTTGCATGCACTGACGGCATTAATAAACATACTCGATGAAAGCCATTGTGCAATGCTGTTATTATATGATAAAGAACATAGAGTATCATATAGCCACACACACGCAGCCTACAACATCGTATAGAAACCACACATTGACCAGACAGACAACGTTACACAACTACATACAACATAATACCACATCATAAACAACATACAGCAACGTGCAACATACAACAATATACGATAACATACAACATACAACAAGATACAGCAACGCAGAGCAAAATTCAATAACTTACAAGAACATACGACAACATCCATCATCTTCCAGCAACATACAGCAACATACGGCACGGTACAGCAACGAACAACATACAGCAACATACGGCAACATACAGCAACGAACAACATACAGCAACATACGGCACGGTACAGCAACGAACAACATACAGCAACATACGGCACGGTACAGCAACATACAGCAACATACAGCAACATATACAACAACATACAGCAACATACAGCAACATACAGCAACATCACAGCAACATACAGCAACATACAGCAACATACAGCAACATACGGCAACATACAGCAACATACAGCAACATACAGCAACATACAGCAACATACAGCAACATACGGCAACATACAGCAACATACAGCAACATACGGCAACATACAGCAACATACAGCAACATACAGCAACATACAGCAACATACAGCAACATACAGCAACATACAGCAACATACGGCAACATACAACAACATACAGCAACATACGGCAACATACAGCAACATACAGCAACATACGGCAACATACGGCAACATACAGCAACATACAGCAACATACAGCAACATACAGCAACATACGGCAACATACAGCAACATACGGCAACATATGGAACAACATACGAAACAACATACAGTGACATCCAGCAACATACAGCAACATACAGCAACACACGGCAATACACAGCAACATACGGCAATATACAGCAACATACAGCAACATACGGAAAAACAAACAGCAACATGCAGCAACATACAGCAACATACAGCAACATATTGCAACATATAGCAACATACGGCAACAAACAACAACATACAGCAACATACGGAACAACATACAGCAACATGCAGCAACATACAGCAACATACGGCAACATACGGAACAACATACGGAACAACATACAGAACAACATACGGCAACATATATGACTATATGCAACAACATACATGCAACACAACATACAGCAACGGCAATACACAGCAACATACGGCAACATACAGCAACACACGGCAATACACAGCAACATACGGCAACATACAGCAACACACGGCAATACACAGCAACATACGGCATTATACAGCAACATACAGCAACATACGGAACAACATACAGCAACATGCAGCAACATACGGAACAACGCACAGTAACATTCAGCAACATGCGTCAACATACAGCAACACACGGCAATACACAGCAACATACGGCAACATACAGCAACATACATCAACATACGGAACAACATACAGCAAGACAGTCTGAGAGCAACACACAACAATATACAGCAACATACAGCAACATACGGCAACATACAGCAACAGGCATAACTTTGTTTGCTTGATGTTTAACACCACACTCAGCCAACTGACATGTCTGTAAATATTCGAGGCAATCCAAACAACCCGGTGACTGACATCATGGATATCGGTCAACCAAGTCAGTGAGCCTGACCACCACTTGTCGCCTCATACAGGCAGAATACGGCAACATTCAGCATCATACGGCAACATGCAGACAGAATACGGAAACATTGAGTCAGCATACAGGCAGAATACGGCAACATTCAGCATCATACGGCAACATGCAGACAGAATACGGAAACATTCAGTCAGCATACAGGCAGAATACGGCAACATTCAGTCAGCATACAGGCAGAATACGGCAACATTCAGCATCATACAGCAACATGTAGACAGAATACGGAAACATTCAGTCAGCATACAGGCAGAATACGGCAACATTCAGCATCATACGGCAACATGCAGACAGAATACGGCAACATTCAGTTAGCATACAGGCAGAATACGGCAACATTCAGCATCATACGGCAACATACAGACAGAAAACGGAAACATTCAGTCAGCATACAGGCAGAATACGGCAACATTCAGCATCATACGGCAACATGCAGACAGAATACGGCAACATTCAGTCATCATACAGGCAGAATGCGGCAACATTCAGCATCATACGGCAACATACAGACAGAATACGGAAACATTGAGTCATCATACAGGCAGAATACGGCAACATTCAGTCAGCATACAGGCAGAATACGGCAACATTCAGCATCAAACGGCAACATGTCACTACGCATATAGAAGCATGCAGACAACAAGAAACTTGTTGCAAGAAGTGCCAATTGCCCCGGGGACAGTGCAGTAAAAATGGGAGGCAAAAACTGATAGGAGTAGAACATGACAACACTGTGAAACGCAGTCCCGTAACCGTACTGATGAGTGGGGCTATTGGGTTATACGTCAGGCACATGATTATTGCACTTACATACAACATACAGTAACATACAACAACATACGGAACATGACAAACAATGGACAGGAGCATTTCTACAATATCACTATTGCCGGTTTTAAGAGAATAAGATGTCCAATGCAATTCCCTATTTTTGGTCACATGTCACCGTGCTATAACACGTCAATAGTTCACGTGGCTTTGCATGTGTTTGTGATGGTCACTACCGGTGGGGAAGGATGCGCTCACCTTTAGCGAACATCTTGTAGCATTATGATCTGATAGTGATTCATAAACACGTGTTGTTGATGTACTCGGAATTGTACAATTGTCTAGATATAATATCTTAAGAACATGAAAAGGGTTTGGCATCATTATTTTGAGTGAATATAGAAATGACCTTTATGGCATTTCACCTACTTCGTCAGGTTTAATATGTTTTTCTTGCGTAACGTCTACCCGGAAAGTTGCTTCGAAAATGAAAACAGAGCGGCGTGTCAAAATGACCATATCAGTGTGGCCTTATTTCCCGTGATTCATAGCTTCGTGGTGCTTGACTGTACAATCCGGATGATATCACAACCCGGAAGTAGTTATCACGGACTGTTCAAACACCGCCATCGCGCTGTCACTGACGGAGGTAAGCCTTTGCATATTACACAGTGGTCGGATAGGATGTTTGCTAAAAACAATAGTTTGAAATTACAGCGTTCCATCCTGAGATTGATGCTATGAATGAAAGGCTACTTTTAAACATGGCAGCCGAACGTTGGGTCGTTATCCATGATCAGGGCACAGTGGCTGTATTGACCTAGTGAGCCTATGGATTACACTTATGACGATCTGTTGTGAATTACAAGGCAACTGCTGTGTTGATTTAAGTGCCTGTCAGAATCGGGCTTTAACAGTAAATAATAGCAAGATTATATATTTTATTGATTTAAGAAGTATATTTAGTGTATATTCCGTGGAGTGTACGTATGTGACTTACGGAAAGAACAAGTTATCTCTTTCCATTAAAGTGGGGCAGGTTATGTCACTATTCATCGAACACTGTTTATTTTCTCTGTCTGATTGTGATTCATGCACATACGATCATGATGGAGTTGCAAAATTACAATCGAAACTGCTTCTAGCAGAGATTTCAATGGTGATGGCAATTGTTTTGTGATAAATTCAGTGGGACCCGTTATCTCGAGATCTGTAATCACGAATGTAACAGTATATCGATCCTATTGCAGATACCGACTCACTGAATTCATTAACACAAGTTTGTACCTTCATTTGAAACTCGAAGTTTGCATTGCCTGACTAGATTTCAACAGTTTTGATTTTGGCTGGTTATTTGACATTTTATTCGTATATGTTGATAGAAAATAGGTAATTATGGATCAGCCATTTATAAGAAGTGAGTGTAGGTCAACCCCGCTTTTAACAGTGAGTGAGTGGGTTGGGTTGTACCCGCTTTTGGCAACATTCCAGCAATATCACGGCGGTGGACACCAGAAATGGGCTTCACACATTGTACCCATGTGGGGAAACGAACCCGCGTCTTCGAGCGAACGCTTTAACCACTAGGCTATCCCACCGCCCCGTGCCGAGATTATGATTTGGCAGTTATTTTCTTTCATTCCTGCATAATTGACTTTTGTAGATTATATTCGTTTAATGTTTATTGTTCCTAGGCCGACACTCCTTACTGTTGTCTAACCTCGTGTTTTATTCATGTAGTTTAGTCTGTCTTCTTGTCTACTCCAAGCTAAACTCACTCACTCACTCACTCACTGTTGTCTACTCCCAGATAGACATAGCGTCATGTCATTATCGCCTAAGTGCAATTTATCTGTTTACTAAGCCTCAAGTGGTCACGTTGCAAAAGGTATCCGATAACTGTACATTGCATGGCATGCTTAGATAGCTCTACTATCTGGCATCCCAAACATGTTTGTGCAAAGAAACAGACAATCCAGTGATTGACATCATGAGCATCGATCTAGGCAATTGGGATCGGATGACATTTGTCAACCAAGCCTAATCCCCGATCCCGGTAGTCGCCTATATGCAGAATATGCTTGATGGTGAGGACCTCATCGCAAGAGTGAGTGAGTGAATTTAGTTTCACACCAACTCAGCAATATTCCAGCTACATGGCGGCGGTCTGTAAATAATCGAGTCTGGACCACACAATCCAGTGATCAACAGCATGAGCATCGATCTGAGCAATTGGGAACCGATGACATGTGTCACCCAAGTCAGCAACCCTGACTACCCGTTATATACGAGAAGCATGGGTAACTGAAGATCAATTCTAACCCAGACTTTCACGGGTCTCATCGCAAGAGCCATACTTAGGAGGTCCATCATGCTCAGTGGCAGCATGTACAATATATGGTGTCTCTGTATAGGCAAGACCATTTGAAAGTGTTGTTTGAAGTTTTATCAAAGAGGGTGTTAGTGTTGTTTAGATAGTGATTTGGCCAGGATTAATCGCGTGCTTACAACCAAAAAACGTTATGTCGAAATGTTGTCTCGAAGTAAGAACTTGGTCCTTGCATATCCTTTGTTTAGTAATCATGTAGCGGTTGTGTAGAACATCGGATAACTCGAAGCATTTCGTAGGTCTTACAGCGGTGTTATGAATTGTATTATTTCAAAGCTTATACACTGGCGGTGGAAAGAAAGTATAAGATTTGATCATAGCATTACTGAAACGTGATCAAAACATTACGTGCTTGATCAATCTTAAAAAAACACTGCAAACTTCCGGTCTAGAACACACCATTAACACTCGTGTAAAAACAACATTTAAAACGTTTCTTTTTGTTTCATTTTAAGCCACCATCAAACATGGGTGTATACGTTTTTTGACCGACAGTATATTCTTCGTTAGTCGTGAATTATCTCGTTAAGTATTAATGAACCACTCACTGCGTTCGATACCTATGTGCCATAATTTACCATGGAGAGTTAGATGTTCTAGAAACCTGTGATCGTGGTTCGAATCTCCGTTTGCACTTAATAAGGTTCTAGTCCTGTCAGCACTGTAACACTGCCTACACTAGGGGTAGCCTAGTGGTTAAAGCGCCCGCTCGTCACGCCGGAGACCTGAGTTCGATTCCCCACATGGGTGCAATATGTGAATATCTGGTGTCCCCTGCCGTGATATTGCTGGAATGTTGCTAAAAGCGGCGTAAAACGCAGCTCACTCATTCTTTCCGCATCACACTGACACGTTATTTAACTGAAACACTGCTCACATCAGCTCGCTTATTCTGTTCATATAGCTGGCCCTGATTAAACCAGCTTCTAATTGATAGAATTGTAAGATACATTTTGTATATTGCTGGTATGGTTTGCTGACAGTCGCTCTTGCCTGCAGAATATACGACCGTCCTATGATAGCAAGTCTTGAACTTTCATTTTCAAGTTTAGAAAGAAAAACCTATCCACCAACATTCCAGTACATACAGAAGGAGCTCATTGAATTTTGTAAGTTAACAAAGTATACCTCTGTCATTAATTGTAATAGAGACTACTTCAATAAGGTTTGGTCAAATTGCCATGCTCTATTCTCCTAAATACACTGTCATGCAAATTGCCATGCTCTATTCTCCTAGATACACTGTCATGCAAATTGCCATGCTCTATTCCCCAAATACACTGTCATGCAAATTGCCATGCTCTATTCTCCTAAATACACTGTCATGCAAATTGCCATGCTCTATTCTCCTAAATACACTGTCATGCAAATTGCCATGCTCTATTCCCCAAATACACTGTCATGCAAATTGCCATGCTCTATTCTCCTAAATACACTGTCATGCAAATTGCCATGCTCTATTCTCCTAAATACACTGTCATGCAAATTGCCATGCTCTATTCTCCTAAATACACTGTCATGCAAATTGCCATGCTCTATTCTCCTAAATACACTGTCATGCAAATTGCCATGCTCTATTCTCCTAAATACACTGTCATGCAAATTGCCATGCTCTATTCTGCTAAATACACTGTCATGCAAAACCGTGTAAATGCATAGAATAAATATACAAATTAAAAAAAAGTATTGAATTTTACAATCTGTGATCCCCACTGAGGAAAAAACCCCACATGTCTCTGATACCTCATAACTGAGGCGTTATCTGTGTCAGCATAGTGATAGGCACGAAAGCAATTTATCAGTAATAAGTATGCCAGGCTGTTTCCCAGATAAGCTATACTATCAGTTACTGGACAAAATGTTTAACCAGCTGTTAATTTCTAAAGATATTCCTGGATATTACGCAACTACGAGACCTTAGGAATATTTAAATTAAAACTTTATTATTTATAACTAACCATTCAAAGCTCCCGGAATGTAGGAGTATAGGATGGATAAAAAATATAGACACAAAAATAATAAACATTGAAAAAAGTCTAAAAAACCCATATTGATAAAAATCAATGTTTTAATTAAAAAATGAAATGACCAGGAAAACGCTTTTATCGATGACATGGCAATTAAGTACTAATGTATTCAACCACCATTGTGTTAAAGTGGTGCACATTTCACTTCCCGACACGACACGTTGAAAACTTGGTTTCCTGCTCTTCTTTTCAAACCAAGTGAGGGTACCACCTGATACTTCCTTGTGCGACTTGTGTATAAACCTGTACTACATGCGTGACCTGTATGTATTGTTGTCCTAAACACGACTACAGGAAACTATTAGTCTACTTTCCCATTGTCATCAATACAGGGGCGGTGGGGTAGCCTAACGGTTAAAGCTTTGGCTCGTCACGTCGAAGACCCGGGTTCGAATCCCCACATGGGCACAATGTGTGAAGCCCATTTCTGGTGTCCCCCGCCGTGATTTTGCTGGAATATTGCTAAAAGCGGCGTAAAACCAAACTCAGTCAGTCAGTCAGTCAGTCTTCAATACAATGCATGTATAGACGGGCGTCTAGTTTGTAATGTCTTAATGGTTTGTTACTAGGGAACCTGTTCGTCATACATGTGTGTATGTATTGGTTCTGTTTGGCTGGGGTATATGTGATCAACATATTTGTGTGCACGAATGTATGTCGGGGGTGGGGGAACAGTATGAGTGAGTGAGTTTAGTTTTACGTCGCTTTTAGCAATATTCCAGCAATATCACGGCGGGAGACACCAGAATTGTATCTCCAGATATTGTACCCATGTGGAGAATTAAACGTCGGCGTGACGAGCGAGCGCTTTAACCATTAGGCTACCCCATCGCCCCGGCACAAGTATGAAGCGGATGGGTATATCTATGAACGCATTGTATGTGATTATTCTTGTAATATTATGGTATGCCTTTCACCACGTTTGTAAGCATGTGTACGGGTGATTGTGTAAACAATTTGTGTCTTTGTGTTTGAGAATATGTCCGTGTGAGAGGTCTTTCCGAGCACGGGCTCTTGCAATTCTACTGTGTTCAAGGAAAATACGATATTCTAAAAGTCACCTTCCGTGATTAAAATTGAACAAAAAGTTTGTAAAATAGCAATAAAAACACAAAAAACGTACTTGTATTTCCGCCTATTACGGAAACACCCGACAGTTAATGAGCAGAGGAGGTATCACGTGACATGACGTCATATGTGCCTGTTGCTGATGTCTTCCTCTTTGATTTTACCTCACAACTTAACAGAGTCTATGGATTCTGAAGCAGTAGAAGATTAGTAGAATTTCTTTTTCTTCGCACGGCAGAAGTACTGCTGTCCAGCGGCAGTTCAATTTTTGGGTAAATTTTGTGAACGGCGGGTGCTCCCGGCAGGGCAGGGCATGCTTACCCTTTTCGCGAACACCTGGTGTCATCACTGATTTTCAGTAATACGGTCGTATACTTTTCACTGATATGTTTCCCTTTTACACTGAATGGAATTTGTTTCTGGGGATAATCAAAACAGTGTATTCTATTGCGCTGGTGTTCTGTTTCAAGCGGCGTAACTCCAACTTACACACTCATTAATGTAACATCCCTACTATTTCAGCTATACCGGTAATACCTCAAGATCAAGGAGTTAAAACACTATTACTCGCTCACTACAGTACTCACTCACTTATATAGCATCCTTGTTGTTTCAGGTATAAAGGTAATAAATCAAGAGGAAGGAGTTAAAACACTATTACTCGCCCACTAAAGTACTCACTCATATAGCGTCCTTGTTGTTATAGCAAGATCCTTGTTGTTTCAGGTATAAAGGTAATAAATCAAGATTAAAACACTATTACTCGGTAGTCCTTGTTGTTTCAGCTATAACAAGATCAAGGAGTTAAAACACTATTACTCGCCCACTACAGTACTCACTCACTTATATAGCATCCTTGTTGTTTCAGGTATAAAGGTAATAAATCAAGAGGAAGGAGTTAAAACACTATTACTCGCCCACTACAGTACTCACTCACTTATATAGCATCCTTGTTGTTTCAGGTATAAAGGTAATAAATCAAGATCAAGGAGTTAAAACACTATTACTCGCCCACTACAGTACTCACTCACTCACTTATATAGCATCCTTGTTGTTTCAGGTATAAAGGTAATAAATCAAGATCAAGGAGTTAAAACACTATTACTCGCCCACTACGGTACTCACTCACTTATATAGCATCCTTGTTGTTTCAGGTATAAAGGTAATAAATCAAGATCAAGGAGTTAAAACACTATTACTCGCCCACTACAGTACTCACTCACTTATATAGCATCCTTGTTGTTTCAGGTATAAAGGTAATAAATCAAGAGGAAGGAGTTAAAACACTATTACTCGCCCACTACAGTACTCACTCACTTATATAGCATCCTTGTTGTTTCAGGTATAAAGGTAATAAATCAAGATCAAGGAGTTAAAACACTATTACTCGCCCACTACAGTACTCACTCACTTATATAGCATCCTTGTTGTTTCAGGTATAAAGGTAATAAATCAAGAGGAAGGAGTTAAAACACTATTACTCGCCCACTACAGTACTCACTCACTTATATAGCGTCCTTGTTGTTTCAGGTATAAAGGTAATAAATAAAGAGGTCCTTGTTGTTTCGGGAGTTAAAACACTATTACTCGCCCACTACAGTACTCACTCACTTATATAGCGTCCTTGTTGTTTCAGGTATAAAGGTAATAAATCAAGATCAAGGAGTTAAAACACTATTACTCGCCCACTACAGTACTCACTCACTTATATAGCATCCTTGTTGTTTCAGGTATAAAGGTAATAAATCAAGAGGAAGGAGTTAAAACACTATTACTCGCCCACTACTACAGTACTCACTCACTTATATAGCATCCTTGTTGTTTCAGGTATAAAGGTAATAAATCAAGAGGAAGGAGTTAAAACACTATTACTCGCCCACTACAGTACTCACTCACTTATATAGCATCCTTGTTGTTTCAGGTATAAAGGTAATAAATCAAGAGGAAGGAGTTAAAACACTATTACTCGCCCACTACGGTACTCACTCACTTATATAGCGTCCTTGTTGTTTCAGGTATAAAGGTAATAAATCAAGAGGAAGGAGTTAAAACACTATTACTCGCCCACTACAGTACTCACTCTCACTTATATAGCGTCCTTGTTGTTTCAGGTATAAAGGTAATAAATCAAGAGGAAGGAGTTAAAACACTATTACTCGCCCACTACAGTACTCACTCACTTATATAGCATCCTTGTTGTTTCAGGTATAAAGGTAATAAATCAAGAGGAAGGAGTTAAAACACTATTACTCGCCCACTACAGTACTCACTCACTTATATAGCGTCCTTGTTGTTTCAGGTATAAAGGTAATAAATCAAGAGGAAGGAGTTAAAACACTATTACTCGCCCACTACGGTACTCACTCACTTATATAGCGTCCTTGTTGTTTCAGGTATAAAGGTAATAAATCAAGAGGAAGGAGTTAAAACACTATTACTCGCCCACTACAGTACTCACTCACTTATATAGCGTCCTTGTTGTTTCAGGTATAAAGGTAATAAATCAAGAGGAAGGAGTTAAAACACTATTACTCGCCCACTACAGTACTCAGGTATAAAGGTCAAATTATATTACTCGCCCACTACAGTACTCACTCATTATATAGCATCCTTGTTGTTTCAGGTATAAAGGTAATAAATCAAGATCAAGGAGTTAAAATTACTCGCCCACTACGCTCACTCACTACATAGCATCCTTGTTGTTTCAGGTATAAAGGTAATAAATCAAGATCAAGGAGTTAAAACACTATTACTCGCCCACTACAGTACTCACTCACTTATATAGCATCCTTGTTGTTTCAGGTATGTTTAAAACACTATTACTCGCCCACTACGGGTACTCACTTATATAATCCTTGTTGTTTCAGGTATAAAGGAATAAATCAAGATCAAAGTTCAAAACACTATTACTCGCCCACTACAGTACTCACTCACTTATATAGCATCCTTGTTGTTTCAGGTATAAAGGTAATAAATCAAGATCAAGGAGTTAAAACACTATTACTCGCCCACTACAGTACTCACTCACTTATATAGCATCCTTGTTGTTTCAGGTATAAAGGTAATAAATCAAGAGGAAGGAGTTAAAACACTATTACTCGCTCACTACAGTACTCACTCACTTATATAGCATCCTTGTTGTTTCAGGTATTAAGGTAATAAATCAAGAGGAAGGAGTTAAAACACTATTACTCGCTAACTACAGTATTCACTCACTAATATAGCATCCTTGTATTTTCAGCTATAAAGGCAATACCTCAAGATGCAGGAGAGCGAAGGGACCGAAAGCCCTCTACAGAAGATGGAATCAGAGATCGACAGCTACCAGGAGCGACTGGACTACCTCAGCACCAAGAGAGACAGGGTGGAGGAGGAGCTGGAGCACATCCTTGAGACGACGCAGGAATCTTTGCAAAGAAAGAAGGAAGACCTTCTAGAGAGGCTCAATGACATCTTCTGCAGTGAGAGAGACAAGCTGCTTCTGGACATCAGGGACAAAGAGGCATCGGTTTGCGAAACACGATATGCTTCTAATCAGATCCAGGAACTGACACGGTCGGGTTCACGAGAGGAGGCAGAGCATCTCGAGAAGGAGTTGGAACGGAAGTGTGTTCAAATCGGGCTGCCATACGATGAAGAACAGCCAAGGTTAGTTGACATCAATCTCAGTGTCAATTTTGGGGAACTGATGAGAATTGTGAATAATTTGCCATTTGGAGACGTTGATGCTGTCTACGATGATAGGGGCGTGAGTGTGATGAAACGCTACTTGAGTTCATCCTCCCCCGATTCTCCGACCGACTGTTGTGATGAACCCTTTGTCGGGAGAACCGTCCAGACAAACATTCTACCAACTAAGGTAGAAGGGGACAAGACGGATCCGAAACTCAACGACATCGCAGTCGTAAAAGTGGATTCGGTCTTTACCATCGTGGTCACAGACAGATCCAACAAAAGCGTCAAATCATTCTACAAACGGGAAGAGCTTTCGTTTTTCAGTCGCGAATCTACACCCACACAGCCAAGAGGGGTAGCTAAGGTGTGCAATGGAAGAGTCGCCGTCACCCTTCCAGACTCGAAGATAATCAGAATCTACAAAGTAACCCCTACCCTAAAACGTGATAAGGATATTAAAACTTCAAAAGGCTACAGAGGTATTGGCATGCTGGATTCGGACACCTTGGCCGCGAGCACGTACAAGATCTACCCTGGAACAGTGGATGTTCTCGACTTCAAAGGGAATATTCTCCACTCTATCGAAAAGGATGAAAGTGGTCATCATCTTTTCGACTACCCTTTCTACTTATGTACAACACCTGACAAAAATATCATCACTTCAGACTGTGAACGGAAAATGATCACCTGTTTGACAAGGACTGGTGATATCATCTTCCGGTACCAAGGAAATAGCGATGTGCCCTTGCAATACCCTTTGGGAATAGCGCTGGATATGTTTGGAGACATATTGGTTGTGGATTGTGACAATCATAAGATTGTGAAAATCTTTGACGACGGGAATGGTGCTAAAGAATATCTGATGAAGTCTGACGGGATATGTGGCCCATACAGCATTGACACCGACGACAATGGAGTCGTGTACATAGCTCAGTGGAACGGAGATGTCAAGATATTTAATATAGGCTGAGTGATTTGTTTGTGAGTGGAGGGACCGTTGAACATAAGTGTGCTCAGGTATGGGGAGGGGGTAGCCTACTGAAGGAATTAATCGCTCTTCACGCCGAAGATCCAGGTTCGATTCCTAATATTGAGTACAGTGTCCATTTCTTGTGACCCCGTGATATTGTGACAATGCTGGAATATTTCTAACAGCGGAATATAACCAAATTTAATTATATATTGATTTATTTAAACTGATCATTGAGCTAAATGACGTGTGTGTTTCTTAACGATCAAAGACACTTGAATGCTTCTAGTGCGATGGTCAACAAGAGTTGTATATTTCCCATGGAGCTGAGAATGACATGAGAATTCACACCATCTGTCGAGACATGTAGTATAGACATTCTACGATAACTTGTGCATTCACAATCATACCTCATGCGGACATACAGTCAAATACCACCGTATCGAACTCTGATGTGTGGAACTGATGTTATCTCGAAGTAAAAAGCTATTTTACAGCTGCGTCGTACCTAAGTGTTTTTATGACTGAACACATTTCATGAATTCTGAATTAGTGATGATACCTTTGCTAAATAAACAAGATATGAAATATATATGTTGATTTGTGTGAGTAAAGTTAATATTATGGATATGTTGAAGTGCAGTTCTTTCGGGAGAAACCAGTATATTGAAAAACAAACATTTAACGGTACACTGTGGGCTTGTAGCTTCCGGAAGCAATGTTGTGCGAAAGGGCTCCTGGGAGTTACGATCTTATCCCAGTAGGGAAGCACATGTATCACATGCCTTGTCTCTCTGGGCAAGTGACTTTGTTCGAAATATGTCTTTGTTAATGGATACCAAGCAGGATGAGATTGTAATGTGACTCTGGAACAGGTACATACTTATCCACAGACAGTGATAATTCAGCGCTTCACACAGATTGCGTGTAGATTGATCATACGAACGCTTTACAAAGGGAATGTTCTTTTCATCACCATCATCTTATTCTTATGGTACTGATAACTGTTTGATCAAGTTACTATACTAAATGCATATCAATTATCCACACATGAAGTGATGTATTGTGATAAAAAGAGATAATTTAAATGTGATATTCAACAATCACGTGTATATATTTTACAGCCATGAAAAGAACACCATGAAATAGATCATTTACAGAAACATATAGTAATAAATACGGGTTTATAGTTATTCCACGCAGATTGTTGCGTAGCCCCGTGAAGATCCGTGTTAGAATTGGTCTTCAGTAACCCATGCTTGTCGTAAGAGGCGACTAACGGGTTCGGGTGGTCAGGCTCGCTGACTTGGTTGACACATGTCATCGTATCCCACTTGCGTAGATCGATGCTCATGGTGTTGATCATTGGATTGTCTGGTCCAGACTCGACTATTTACAGACCGCCGCCATATAGCTGGAATATTGCTGAGTGCGGCGTTAAACAACAACCATCCAATTAAGTTTGTTGCGAGACGCCATGGGCGTGTCACAGCTATAGTTTTCTTTCTCCCTGCGGGCTCCAGACTTATCTCAAAAGTTCTATGCCTTACATCAAGGAATTACTTCTTAGTGAATGTTTAGTTGTCGACATTACATGACGTCAGTGAGATAAATCCACTAAAATATGAGAAATTGCCCAAATTACTTCGCTGAGACATTTCAGTGGAATCAGGAATATTTGGTAAATGGACTAACACGGTGGAACATGAAGTGATCGAGTCCTTAAAATTGATTAACATGAAAATGCGTCCGTAAGATGTAAGATATGGGTTTACTTTGTACTCATGACTGTAAGATGAAGTGGACAGAGCGTTTGCTCGGAGACCGCCTCTGTGGTTTAGTGGTTACAGGGTCAGTCCGACCTAGTGGGTAGTGACCTAGTGGGTAGATCGTCTGTCCCTGGCCCGTCTGTGGTCTAGTGGGTAGATCGTCTGTCCCTGGCCCGTCTGTGGTCTAGTGGGTAGATCGTCTGTCCCTGGCCCCTCTGTGACCTAGTGGGTAGATCGTCTGTCCCTGGCCTCTCTGTGATCTAGTGGGTAGATCGTCTGTCCCTGGCCCGTCTGTGGTCTAGTGGGTAGATCGTCTGTCCCTGGCCCCTCTGTGACCTAGTGGGTAGATCGTCTGTCCCTGGCCTCTCTGTGATCTAGTGGGTAGATCGTCTGTCCCTGGCCCCTCTTTGGTCTAGTGGGTAGATCGTCTGTCCCTGGCCCCTCTGTGATCTAGTGGGTAGATCGTCTGTCCCTGGCCCCTCTGTGGTCTAGTGGGTAGAACGTCTGTTCCTGGTCCCTCTTTGGTCTAGTGGGTAGATCGTCTGTCTCCTGGCCCTCTGTGGTCCTGTCCTAGCCCCTCTGTGGTCTAGTGGTAGATCGTCTGTCCCTGGCCCCTCTGTGGTCTAGTGGGTAGATCGTCTGTCCTGGTCCCTCTGTGGTCTAGTGGGTAGATCGTCTGTCCTGGTCCCTCTGTGGTCTAGTGGGTCTGTTCCCTGGCCCCTCTGTGGTCTAGTGGGTAGATCGTCTGTCCCTGGGTCCTCTGTGGTCCTAGTGGGTAGATCGTCTGTCCCTGGTCCCTCTGTGGTCTAGTGGGTAGATCGTCTGTCCCTCTGTGGTCCTGGTCCCTCTGTGGTCCTCAGTGGTCTAGTGGGTAGATCGTCTGTCCCTGGCCCTCTGTGGTCTAGTGGGTAGATCGTCTGTCCCTGGTCCTCTCTGTGGTCTAGTGGGTAGATCGTCTGTCCCTGGCCCTCTGTCTAGTGGGTAGAACGTCTGTTCCTGGTCCTCTGTGGTCTAGTGGGTAGATCGTCTGTCCCTGGTCTCTCTTTTATCTAGTGTGTAGATCGTCTGCACCTGGCCCCTCTGTAATCTAGTGGGTAGATCGTCTGTCCCTTGCCCTCTGTGGTCTAGTGGGTAGATCGTCTGTCCCTGGCCCTCTAGCATCTAGTGGGTAGATCGTCTGCCCCTGGTCCCTCTGTGGTCTAAAGGGGTAGATCGTCTGTCCCTCCCTCTGTAATCTAGTGGGTAGATCGTTTGTCCCTTGCCCTCTGTGGTCTAGTGGTGGAATCGTCTGTCCCTGGTCCCTCTGTGGTCTAGTGGGTAGATCGTCTGTCCCTGGTCCCTCTGTGGTCTAGTGGGTAGAACGTCTGTCCCTAGCCCCTCTGTGGTCTAGTGGGTAGATCGTCTGTCCTAGCCCTCTGTGATCTAGTGGGTAGATCGTCTGTCCTGGCCCTCTGTGGTCTAGTGGGTAGAACGTCTGTTCCTGGCCCTCTGTGGTCTAGTGGGTGAGATCGTCTGTCCCTGGCCCTCTGTGGATCTCTGTCCCTGGTCCCTCTGTGGTCTAGTGGGTAGATCGTCTGTCCCTGGTCCCTCTGTGGTCTAGTGGGTAGATCGTCTGTTCCTGGTCCTCTCTGTGGTCTAGTGGGTGATCGTCTGTCCTGGCCCCCTGGTGGTCTCGTCTGTTCCTGGTCCTCTGTGGTCTAGTGGGTAGATCGTCTGTCCCTGGTCTCTCTTTTATCTAGTGGGTAGATCGTCTGCACCTGGCCCCTCTGTAATCTAGTGGGTAGATCGTCTGTCCCTTGCCCCTCTGTGGTCTAGTGGGTAGATCGTCTGTCCCTGGCCCCTCTGTAATCTAGTGGGTAGATCGTCTGCCCCTGGTCCCTCTGTGGTCTAGAGGGTAGATCGTCTGTCCCTTGCCCCTCTGTAATCTAGTGGGTAGATCGTCTGTCCCTGGCCCCTCTGTGGTCTAGTGGGTAGATCGTCTGTCCCTGGTCCCTCTGTGGTCTAGTGGGTAGATCGTCTGTCCCTGGTCCCTCTGTGGTCTAGTGGGTAGATCGTCTGTCCCTGGCCCTCTGTGGTCTAGTGGGTAGATCGTCTGTCCCTGGCCCCTCTGTGGTCTAGTGGGTAGATCGTCTGTCCTGGCCCTCTGTGGTCTAGTGGGTAGATCGTCTGTCCCTGGTCCCTCTGTGGTCTAGTGGGTAGATCGTCTGTCCCTGGCCCCTCTGTGGTCTAGTGGGTAGATCGTCTGTCCCTGGCCCCTCTGTGGTCTAGTGGGTAGATCGTCTGTCCCTGGCCCTCTGTGGTCTAGTGGGTAGATCGTCTGTCCCTGGTCCCTCTGTGGTCTAGTGGGTAGATCGTCTGTTCCTGGTCCCTCTGTGGTCTAGTGGGTAGATCGTCTGTCTCTGGCCCCTCTGTGGTCTAGTGGGTAGATCGTCTGTCCCTGGCCCCTCTGTGGTCTAGTGGGTAGATCGTCTGTCCCTGGCCCCTCTGTGGTCTAGTGGGTAGATCGTCTGTCCCTGGTCCCTCTGTGGTCTAGTGGGTAGATCGTCTGCACCTGGCCCCTCTGTGGTCTAGTGGGTAGAACGTCTGTTCCTGGTCCCTCTGTGGTCTAGTGGGTAGATCGTCTGTCCCTGGTCCCTCTGTGGTCTAGTGGGTAGATCGTCTGTCCCTGGTCTCTCTTTTATCTAGTGGGTAGATCGTCTGCACCTGGCCCCTCTGTAATCTAGTGGGTAGATCGTCTGTCCCTTGCCCCTCTGTGGTCTAGTGGGTAGATCGTCTGTCCCTGGCCCCTCTGTAATCTAGTGGGTAGATCGTCTGCCCCTGGTCCCTCTGTGGTCTAGAGGGTAGATCGTCTGTCCCTTGCCCCTCTGTAATCTAGTGGGTAGATCGTCTGTCCCTTGCCCCTCTGTGGTCTAGTGGGTAGATCGTCTGTCCCTGGTCCCTCTGTGGTCTAGTGGGTAGATCGTCTGTCCCTGGTCCCTCTGTGGTCTAGTGGGTAGATCGTCTGTCCCTGGCCCCTCTGTGGTCTTGTGGATAGATCGTCTGCCCCTGGCCCCTCCGTGGTCTTGTGGATAGACCGTCTGCTCCTGACACCTGTAAGGTGAAGAGGACAGAGACTGACCTCCATTCCGAGATTATTCAAAGATGACATGGAGATAACGCTAGAATGTTCGCAGACCAAAATAGACATTGGTTAACGACTACGTCGTCTAAATTATTAAGAAGATGTGCGAGATTGATGCATTGTCATTGCATATTTACCATTATGTTTATATATTTACCATAAATACCTTGTATAAAACCTGTAACTAACTAAGCTGTAATTACAGCCTAATTGCTTTGGTTGGTAATGCCACACAACAATAGGCAGAAAACTGTTCCACAGAACCTGTTCCAGAAATATAGACAGTCGTCTTATCCAAACATGTGGTACAGTCAAGTTGAACGCATCGTGCAATTATAGTTGAATGGGTGTAAAACTCAATATTTCTTTCCCGTAATGCTTAGTTATTATTTAACATATTAGATCCGCAAGGTTTGTCTCTGTACAGACATACAAACCAACATACCTATCTATATAGATACACAAAAACTGTTAACGCGTAAAACTGTACTCGCTCACCTTCCGTCCCTCCCTCCCGACCTACCTTTCCCATCCTTACGAGGTACCCATTCACAGCTGGGTGGACTGGGACACATAGTCACAGCACATTGTCCAAGTTTACTGCACGTTGCTGTACCCGCAACTAGGCCTGACTGACTGACTGACTGAGTTTAGTTTTACGCCGCTTTTAGCAATATTCCAGCAATATCACGGCGGGGGACACCAGAAATGGGCTTAACACATTGTGCCCATGTGGGGAA